ATGTCTGCTGAGGAAACTATACTGGTTTTAAATGTTTAAAGTCTCCAGCATATTTTGCATGAATATGAAATATCTCTAAATTAGTTTGCTATTAAATAATAATCATTACGTGTAGACTATAACCTCTTCTCACGTGGCAGCTCTGTGTGACTGACCCACCAGTGCTCTCACTACTTAGGACTCGCAAACGAATCCCTTTTTGAATCGGTCCAAGAAACTAGTCTGTGCGATTCGTTCGGCGTGAAACTCCTGTACACATACAATAAACACGCTTATCAATAACGTAATAAACAGCGGTGTATACGTACGTAGAGTTTTATGGGAACGCCAGGACGTAAGGAGCGCGTGATGGCGTCATTACGCGATGACGACAAAGAACCGATTCGCAGAAATTAGTTAGATTTAACACCCATAGTACATACTTTAGAGCCTATTGAGAATTGTATTCCGTTATATTCGCCGCCATATACAACGTAAAGTCTTATGAGCGCGAATGAGGAACAAAATAATGGAATGAAAGGATCTCTTGTGTAAGCGACACTGCGCACGAATGGAATGGAGGTCGCGCTAGCAATTAGCTAAAGCTAACGGGCAAGTAACAAAACGAAATACTCAGTCCTGGAAGCGGTTGTTTTGTCTCATTTTGCGCCTTCTCTGCATTACGCGAATGTGTATTTAACCGCAGTTAGGGGTTATGATTGTGCTGAGTTCCTCGTGTCAGTTGTGTTTGTGGCGTATTTGTGTGTTACTATGACACTCAATACTATGGGCGGCCATGCCAGAGCACAGCGAAGCACGTTTGACGACTGGGCCTTCAACACAGTTTATAATGCAACAATTATGCGTGTCTTTATAGCTGTGCATTTTGTTCCCTGTTCTAATTTGTTCAATTTTGTGTTATCTTAATATTATTGGATAGCAGTTATATTATACAGTGTTATACATGACGCCCAGTATGTGAGATGTGCGGTGATTTTACATTACTTGCTTAGTAAATGTGTGTAAGAGGGATTATTGCCGTTATAACACTATAACGTAATCACGAGCTGTCATCTACTTGTTTGTATTTAGGTTTTAACTTGAGTGCAGGGGTCGAACAATATTTTTAGTGGTTGTTTACGCTAACAAGAAAGAGCCAAATCAAATATATGACATAATCCTGTGTAGAAGATCCACTTGCTCATAGTTTTCTGGTGAACAGGTTGTTTGTTTAAATGTAGCCTATTAACTGTAGGGTTTTTGTAGACTTGCTAATTTGTAATTTTCATGTCACTCTTAGCCATCTATTCAATGTTTTACTAAATATATTCAACATTATGTAAAATACAAGGTCTTATTCATTTGATTTTGAGTAACAGGTTTGGTACATGATTGGAGTGTGTACTGTTTTTTTTTTTTTTTTTTAAGTGTAACTTGATAGCCTTCCAATTGGTTGAAAAAGAAGGGGCATGAATTGTATATAGAAAGTTATATATGAAGTAAGAAAGTACAGAAAGTTATATGTCCTGATATGCTGATGTAATCAGCATATCAGGACATATAATTATGTAATTACAATATAATTACATATAATAAAATTACTTTATAATTTACTTTTTTTTTTTCTTTTCTTTTTTTTGCTGATTTTTAATGTTTCTTTTTGTGTTGTTTTTTAGATCAGTATCTTAAATAGAAGAGTTCCAGTCATCGTCTTCATAGCAAACAGGTACAGCATTTCACCACTCTTATTATTATAGCCCGACCGATATATCGTTTTGCCGATTTTATTGGCCGATATTAGCCTGTTGCAGATATATCGGCATCGGCAAATATGCCACCTACATGACATTTTTTTTACAGAACATAAAATGCAGATAAAATGCCCAATATCAACATTTTTTTACAGAACATAAAACGCAAACAAAATGCTTGTAAATGGTGTAATTACGTAGTTTGTCCAGCATAGCGCGCTGTTTGCTTCTGGCGACCTGGATGAAACGCTTCAAAGCTAAAGTGTATAGAATACCATTGAAACTTTGAACGGCCATATCTCCGTAAAGGCGTGGCGGATCTGCACCAAATTCGGGGGATCCCTTCAGCTCGAGGAACCCTCTCGAACGCCGAATCAAAAGTGTACGTCTCGTGGCCCTTGCGTCGATAGCCCCCGGGGTTCGGGAGTTACGGGCGGTTAAATTCGCGGTCGGTTGCTGACCGATCTGGCGATCCCTGGGGGCTACCGCCGCGTGGAGGGTGGCGTTCGAG